TTTTATTTTAGTGCTGTCCAATTCTTAGAGAAGAAGCAAGGATGAAGTACTTTCCTAAGGCCTCTAAGAAGAGTTGGTGTGTAAGCAATGTTAAATCCAGCATCACATTTCTTGATTTTTCATGTTTCTTTACATGATCTTGCTTTTCTGAATCCATTTTTTCTTAACTCCCCTGAAGTCGTGCCCTTACTGCCTTTACTCCATTTGTCGTCTGTGGGTGTTCTGTTCCCATACCCACTCAAGTGTAAGGAGGCTTTCAATGACTTTGCTGAATCTTGAAAGAGAGGAAAGTGAATTTGATCACTGCTTTCAGTTCATCATATCTTGCTCTGCAGTACTGTGCAGTCAGGCCAAGTACAGACATCTGCAGAACAGGTGATGAGACAGGATACGGGTTAATGCGGGAATTTACTTGTGCTGGGGGCTGGACAGGTGGGAGTGGGTCAGTCTGTGTCCGCTGTGCTGTGCAAGGCACAACACAACATGGCTAACAGACACTGAAAGAAAATGTCACAGAGACCATCTCTGGACATGACTTTGTCTTGTGCTGGCTTTAAATATGAAAGAATAATTTGCAACACAGACAACTGCATGTTTAGCAAAACCTAGTAAATATATTAACCCATATCATCAGAAGAAGTTTGATGAAGTCAGCAATGCCAGCCCTGAGTGTGTTCTTCTCTACAGAGCAGATAGGTGTCACATACTGTGTACATATGTCATTGTCCTTCATCATCAGAAGATGCAGAATATGAACAATGGCCTATACAAATCCCAAGTGAGCAGACACAGCTCACTCTTAGTTGTAACGGGCTGGTGGCATTGGTCACAAGTCTGGGCCAATGTATTGGATGACCAAGCTAAGTGTTAGAAAATGCTTTATTTTCTAAAAACATGATGGGCGTTGCAAATTAAAGGAATAATCATGGCTTTTAAACACCAGAGGATATAGCTGAGCCGGTTGATTAGGTAGTGCAAAGACCAGTTAAAGTCCTATGTGGATAAGAAATATGTAATGACCAGCAAGAGAGGTATTTAAAGATTAATTCATTTGTGCACATGGCCACATTTTGTTTTCACCTCTTACCTTCTATTAATATCCACATCCATTTATGTCTTTAAAGCAATCGTTCCTTTTCTTGCTGTCTTATCTATCAGATGTTTACACCCGAAATCTGAATGCCTGGTTTGGATTGTTATAGGATAGCTACTGCAAGTTTTTTCAGAGTTCTTTTATACCTAATTTTTTTCAGTTCACATTTTCTGTCCAGAGAGCTGTTGACAGCTCTCTCTCCTAGGAATTTCCATCATTTTTCAGAAAGAAGGTATTTCATGTTATTGTGCTTAATAAATAAAATACAATCATTTGTAAGCCTTATGATAAATCATACTTAAAGGAACAAGATCACATGTTTTGAGCTTTGAGTTTGGTCTTGGCAGGTTTGCAATATGTGAAGATAGTCCTTTAGTGGTCAGGAAGTCACTTTTCTACACCAGGCTTTTAGTGGAAAATTATTCAGCAAGCCAAACAGAAATTTCAGTATCACGTCTCACAGATTTTAATCATTCAAGGTATTTGGCACAAATCAGTCACTAGTGTGCTATAGACAAAACTACTAAGACCTCAGAGATGAGTGGTATATTAGAACCTTGCTGCATGCTGGCCTGATGTGCTTCATTATCTTTTTATCTATCTATTTATCTGCTATTGTAGTTAGTTATATCCGTGTTTTTCATCAGTGTAATAAATACCGTAATATGTCACCTTATTTTATATTGAGAAACCAAAAAGGCCATTTTGCCGTACAGCAAAATTGTGTAACACCTTTTGTTTAGGTGTTTTGTTTAATAATTGCACTGATAGTCTGTAATTATAGAAGCTTGGTTCCCCCCCTCAAGCACGGCTTCTACATCATACATTTAAGCTGTGTAATTAGTGGTTTAGATAATAAATTGGTTTTCTATTGGTCTGTTTTGTTTATTACTGCTAATGAAATTACTGGAACATTTGGCTTAGCAAGTGTAGGAACTCTGTTATTTTACCTCCTGTTTTAAAAGCTATTCCCTGTTTGTGTTGCGTACCGGATGTCACACTAATCGTTATCTGCAGACAG